GGGACGTCTGCAGCAGCAGCAGAGGCGTAGGAGGGGGCAAGGGGGGAGGGGGAGCACCCCTCAAAGAAGGGCGGGCGCGGAGTGCCGCGAGCAGCACCTACAGCAACTGCACTAGTCTCAGCTGCGAGGAGGTGCTGCTCGAGTAGGTGAACAGTGAGGGAGGTGGGGTCAAGTGAGAGAAAGTGGTCCCTGACAGAGCGAAGAGAGTCAAGGAGGCAGGTGACTAAGAATTAGAGGGTGATGAACATCGGGGGTTGGTTCCTGTGAAGGAACTCAGCAGGGACGGTAGCACGGTAGCGAGCGTCGCTGGTGCGCAGGTGGGAAACAAGGTCCTCTACTGTGGCAAAGGCAGGAGGAGGCTGCCTAGAGCAGCAGTGGCAGGCGAGGAGTAGCGAGCGACTACAGCATCGTACAGCGCCTGTGCCGTCCTGTGCTGTCTGAAGTGAGCGCATTTGGCTAACGGCAGGTGGTTGCAAATGGCTAAGCGGGCAGCAGCGTCGCGAGTAAGCCACTGTGAGCGAGTCGCACTGTCAGCTGTTGCGGGAGGGGCGGTAGCGGCGCCAGACGTGAGGTCAAACAGCGAAACACTGTCCTTAGAATCGCTCAGTAGGTACAGCTGCAGGTCGTCGAGCCACGTGTCAAACTGAATCGGTCTGCCCTCATGATCGAACGCGAGAACTCGAAGTGAAGCCATAGTGGCGCAGTAAGAAGAGCGGGGGGAAGCAGGGCAGGCAGCAGTAGCAGCAGCAGCAGTAGTAGCAGCAGCACGCAGAAGCAGCAGAGAGGGGGCAGCAAGCAGGGCAGTAGCAGCAGCAGCAGCACGTAAGAAGCGGCGTGCGGGGCCTGGGGTTGACGGGCCGGGGCCTAGGGGCGACGGGTCGGGGGCCTTGGGGCGACGGGCCGCGGGGCCGAGAGCGACGGGCCGGAGCCCAGGGGTGGCGGGCCGTGGGGTCTAGGGGCGACGGGCCGGGGGCCTAGGGGCGACGGGCCGGGGCCTAGGGGCGAGGGGCCGCGGGCCTAGGGGCGACGGGCCGCGAGGCCGAGAGTTACGGGCCGGAGGCCTAGGGGAGACGGGCCACGGGGCCTAGGGGCGACAGGCCGCGGGGCTAGGAGCGACGGGTCGCGGGGCTAGGGGCGACGGGCCGCGGGGCCTAGGGGCAACGCGCCGGGCCTATGTTAGGGGCGACGGGCCGCGGGGCCAGGGGGCGACGGGCTACGGGCCTGGCCTAGGGGGGGCGACGAGCGACGGGCCGCGGGGCCTAAGGAAAACGGGCCGCGGGGCCAGGAGCGACGGGCCGGGGCCTAGGTTAGGGGCGACGGGCCGCGGGGCCAGGGGCGATGGGCGACGGGGCGGGCCTAGAGGGGTCGACGGGCGACGGGCCGCGGGGCCGGGGCCTAGGTTAGGGGCGATGGGTTGCGGGGCCAGGGTCGACAGGCTACGGGCCGGGCCTAGGGGGGTCGACGGGCGACGGGTCGTGGGGCCAGGGCCTAGGTTAAGGGCGACGGGCCGCGGGGCCAGGGGCGACGGGCTACGGGCCGCGGGTCCTAGGAGGGGCGACGGGCGACGAGCTGGGTCGACGGGCCTAGGGCGACGGGCGTAGGGGCGACGGGCCGGGGCTAGGGGCGACGGGCCGGGGGTCGACGGGCCTAGGGGTGACGGGCCGGGGGTCGACGTGCCTAGGGGCGACGGGCTGGGGGTCGACGTGCCTAGGGGCGACGGGCAGGCCGCACGAGGGCGGCGCTAGGGGCAGGAGGCGCGGCATGAGGGTCGCGAGGGGCGGCTAGCGGGGTAGCGCTGTGGTGGGCCCAAGGAAAAAAAAACGGTCCTAGCGAAGGACCTGCTCTGAAACCATGTCAAAAGAATGAACGAGGATGGATGAACTAGCATAGAGTTGGGTACAAGTACTAACCCTAATTGGGTTGTACCCCTTATGGGCTACCCCACTATAGCCTACACAATATAAGCTATATAACATTTTGACAGTAACAGCTTTCAGGAGAAAAACAACCATTTGTTCTTGTGCCGTGCTAGTATCTGTACTTAGGATAACGCGTGCTAGGAGATGAGTATTATATTAAGTGAGATTCTTGGTGTACCTTCAGTGAATATTACTGGTGTTCTCAGATTCTGCTCTTGACACGTATATTGAATAGGGCTTTCAAATTGAAGTGTAAGGAAATTTCCTTTTCCTTACTTCGCGTCCCTACTCAGCGCGTACACCAATGTTTCCCGCCAACAGCACCCAACATTAATCCGTTACCACTCGCGACACTCGCCTCGACACTGTTCCCGCCGCTGTTCACGACGCGACCCAACCTCACGGTTCGGTTGGTAACCTGCGCTCCGGACCTCCGCCTCGACAACTCCCAACCTCGGCGCTAGGCCCGTCGCGCACCCCATTTTCCACACATTACCGTTACGACTATAGTTTCGCTATATATTCTTCGCTCATACCTTCGCTCGTTGTACTCTTGCTTCGATAGTGCAATTCTTGCTCGCTCACTCAATTGCACCCGTAACACTTGGTATTCAGAGCCTACGATCTCTTCTCGGACCGCACCCACACCTTCGCTTCCCCACTATCTCAATTTTGGTTGGGGGGTAGACGTCTCTCAGCGAAACAAGCACCGCCGCTCAAAGTGCTCTCTCGTAAGCACGCACGGCCACGACAGAGGCTCTTGCTGAGCTTGCCCGACACCCCCGCCATGGCTGAAATTAATCTCGCGACACTGACGCAAGAACAGCTCGACCGTCTCGTGCGCCAACTCGAAGATTCGGCACTCGAAATTGCGACACTCACGGCGGAACGCGACTCCGCTCGCCAGCAATCGACGGTGAATGCAACAACACCAACAAATGCACCTGCACAATCGGAGGAGCCGATCGTCATCTCATCAGGCACACCGACACAGAACGACAGTGTGGGACAACGCTCAGGCGTAGCCAGCGATGGCGCTGCTCATTCAATGCCTGGCATGGAGAGAAATAGGGCCCCACCAAGCCCGCGTGAACCTCGCGAAGCTCGTCGGCACGTGGAGTTTGCAGCAACAAGCGGCAACCACGACATCATGGCACCAATGCCACTCAAGCCGCAACGCCCGCCCTATTTCGATCCAAGCCAATGTGGAGGTCCGACGGTTCAATCGTGGGTCTTCACGATGAACGTCTTTTTCGACGTGAATTACGTCGAGTCGGACGCAGCGAAGATTCGCTACGCCATTTCGCTGCTGAGGGGCCCCGCCATGGATTGGTGGCGAGTCATCGTGACGTCGCCACACGCATACGAGCCACCGTCGCAAGAGGAAGGGCCCACGGGCCCAGCCGTCACCTGGAGTTCATTTTGCGAGACAGCCCAGTACAGCACGTGGGATGCGTGGTGCGCAAGGCTTCGGGCGTGCTTCGAGCCGATCGCGGCTTCTATTTCGGCGCGTCAGAGACTGCGCACTTGGCGGCAGCTCGGATCAGTTCAAGACTACACAAGCGGTTTTCTCGCATTATGCGAGCAAGTCGGCTACATGCACGAAGCGGAGCGGGTGGACCGTTATGTCGGAGGGCTGAATCCTGACATCTCGCACGAAATCATGCTACACGGGCTCTCGAATTTTAACGAGATCCTCGCGCTCGCCGAGAAAATTGACATTTTGCGCCGTCCGAGACCGGAGTCCTATTACGGATATCGTCCTTGGGGACTAATAGGCAAAGGGCCACAAGGCAACAGCGACGGGTCACCAGGAGAAGGAGTAAACCCAAGATGCGTTCACGACGCGACCCAACCTCCCGGTTCGGTTGGTAACCCGCGCTCCGGACCTCCGCCTCGACAACTCCCAACCTCGGCGCTAGGCCCGTCGCGCACCCTATTTTCCACACATTACCGTTACCACTGTAGTTTCGCTAAATATTCTTCGCTCATACCTTCGCTCATTGTACTCTTGCTTCGATAGTGCAGTTCTCGCTCGCTCACTCAATTGCACTCGTAACCGTACTCTATGAACGAATCTTAGCATGATTCATGTAACAATTTTTGAAGCCGTTATTCCAGATTGAAGACAACTCATTCTCAACCTTGGTGTCTGCTGGAACTATAGGGTGAGTTTGTTCGCGAGAAAGTTGAGAAATCAATGGGGGTACTCCTTTGCGACTGTTGGGAGAGGAGAGTGCAAGGGTTTCTACCATCTTTGAGAAAACCGACTAAATAAAGTGAGTACTCCTTTGCGACTGTTGGGTTTTGAGTCGACTCGTTCCTTTTCCTGAATATGTTGATTGAAGAAACAAGGTAGAGTGGGAACCGACCTTGGGATTGCTATCGACCATCCAACTTTCGGGTAGCGATTCCCTCTCCTCCATGCTTCTTGCCCTGTGTCATGAGATTGTTTTTGAGACGTCTAAAAAATATCCGCTTCTTGCCCTCCCCCTCTCCTTGCCCCCTTCTTACCCTCCTCCCTCTCTTATTGTTTTCTCACAGATGTCTGTGGAAGAACCGACTAGCCAAGATGCGATCGCTGCTGCTGCAGCACGAAGCAAAGGCAAAGCGTGGCAACGCTCTCTCCTCTACCTCCGCCACTCACTTACCGCTTTCGCCCTCCTCCCCCCTCTGCCCCACCAGATGTCAGTGGAAGAGGCACAAGAGAGGATGAACCGGCTAGCCAAGATGCGAGGTGACACTTGCAGGGCTCGCTTCTCATCCGCTTCCCTCTTTGTCCCTCCTCCTTCCCCTCCTCTCCTCCTCTTCACCTCTCAGATGTCAGTGGAGGAAGCACGGGAGAGAATGAACCGACTAGCCAAGATGCGATCGCTGCTGCTGCAGCACGAAGCAAAGGCGAAGCGAGTCAAGAAAATAAAATCCAAAACCTTTCACAAGATGGAAAGAAAAGCCGAAAAGAGGAAGAGAAAGATGGGGCTTGCAGCGGGAGGGGAAGCGGGTGGGGAGGAGGAGTGGGAGGACAAGGAGGCAGCAAGAGAAGCTGTGATAAAGCAGGAGTATTTACGTGCTAAGGAGCGGATGACCCTTCGACATAAGAACACTTCCAAGTGGGCTAAGAGGGTTATAGAAAGGGGAATGGCGGCTAAAGCAGCGGTTGGAGGGCAGGGGACGAGAGAGGCTATAGCAGAGCAGCTAAGAACACATGCCATGCTGACTAGAAAGATTCATTCTGCGACGATTGGGAGAGGGGAGGGGGAGGAGGAGGAGGAGGAGGAGGAGGAGGAGGAGGAGGAGGAGGAGGAGGAGGAGGAGGAGGAGGAGGAGGGGGAGGAGGAGGAGGAGGAGGAGGAGGAGGAGGAGGAGGAGGAGGAGGAGGAGGAGAAGGAGGAGGAGGAGGAGGAGGAGGAGGAGGAGGAGGAGGATGGGGAGGGGGGGTGGGGAGAGGAGGGCAGTGGGGAGGAGTCTGGGGGGAGTGAGGGGGAGGAGGCGGGAGGGAAAGGAAGGGGAGGGGAGAAAGGGAGGGGATGGGGGGGGGGGAGGGGAGGGGGATGGGGCAACAAAGAGTGGTCTCTTTGCTTTGCCGTTTATGGCTAAGGCTATTGAGAGGAGGAGGTTAGAGGCTCAGAAAGAGGCTATAGAAGTCATTAAAGACCTCGAGGAGGGGTTGGAAGGGGTTGGGTACGGTGACGGGGAGGATGGGGAGGGTGGGAGGGTAAAGGGGGGAGGTGGAGGGGAGGGTGATGGGTGGGGGGGAGGAGTATGGGGAGAGGAGAAGGAGGAGGGAGAGAGGGTGGGAGCAGGGAGGAGGGTGTTTGGGAATCTGGAAGAGAGAGTAGTGGGAGGGGAAGGGCAGGAGGAGAGAGACGAGTGGGTGGCAGTGAGAGAGGGGGAAGGGGAGGACGGAGAGGAGGAAGAGGGGGAAGGGGGAGGGGAGGATGGTGGGAAGGAGGGCAAAGCGGAGGGGGCAAGAGCGGGATGAAGTTTGGGGGAAAGGGAGAGGGGAGGGGAGGGGGGAGGCTGTTGAAGGAGGAGAGAGAGGCAGCACGGCAGGTGAAAGAGATGCTAGGAGCTGGAAAGGGGTTCTCCTTCACTGCGGTGAGTGGTTGGGTTGGGTTCATCTGAATGATTTGGTTTTTGAGAATTCTAAGAAATCAGCTCAATGAATGTGAGAATCAAAAGGGTCGCGTGCTGCAAGGTGTCGGCAAGGGGGAGTTGATTCACAGTTTCATTGCTTTTACTCCTTCAGCAGTGGCTGCTTTGAAGTGCAGCAGTGGCTGCTTTGAAGCGGGTAATGTGCTGCAAAACCCCCCTGCATACACGCCTTTTTAGCTTCCCAACTCCCAGCCCTCACTCTCTCTAACTCCCCCCCCCCCATCTACCCCTTCTGCAGTTACCTCTCGCTGACAGCTCTGCTTCAGCCCCTGTAGACGTGTCTGTGCCACCACCCGTGCCTGATGGGAGAAGAGAGGTGGGAGCAGGGGAAGGAGATTTGCAGGCAGTCTCACGTCTCACCCTCTCTCACATCTCCCCACCCACCCACCCACCCACCTTCCTTGCAGTTGCCTGTTGCTGACAGCTCTGCTTCAGCCCCTGTAGACGTGTCTGTGCCCCCACCTGATGGGGATTTGCAGGCTTTGCTGCGACACACAGGGAGTGGAGGGGAGAAGGGGGTGTGTGAAACTAGGGTGAGGATGGAGGGAGGGGAGGAGGAACAGGAGGATGAGGAGGGGAGAGAGGGGGGGAGGGTAGGCGGCGCGGAGGGGGAGGAGAGGGGGAAGAAGAGGGCCAGGGCGAGGGGAGGGGAGGGGGGGAAGATGGGTTATGATGGTTCTGGTAAGGGAGCGGTGGGGATTCTGCAGGGTGACTATAGCGAGAGTGAGAGGGAGGATGGAGAGGAGGATATAGACGATGACGTGGCTTATAACGAGGGGATGCGTTTGGAGGGCAAGGGGGATGCTTATATGGAGGATGAAGCATGGGGGGAGGATGCTGGGGAGAGGGTGGAGAGGGGGGCAGGAGTGGGGATGGAGGAAGAGGAGGGGGAGGAGGGAGGGGAGAAACAGGTAGGTAAGAAGAGAAAAGGACGGGCCAGCAGGGGAGGAGGAGGGGAAGGAGGAGAAGGAGGAAGAGAGGAAGGGAACGGAGCGAGCGCGTTCGAGAAAGACCAAGATGAGCTGATGCGATTGGCCTTCGCAGGTGATGACGTGGCAGCAGAATTCGAGGCGGAGAAAGAGCGAGTGGTGGAAAAGGAGGTGGGGAGGGAGGAGGGACCAGTGACGCTGCCCGGGTGGGGGCAGTGGGAGGAGGTGCAGAGGCGGAAGGGGGCACCGAAGTGGATTGAGGAGGAGAGGGAGAAGGCGAAGAGGAGGCGGATGGAAGCAGTGAAGCAGAGGGCGGATTCGAAGCTGACGCATGTGATTGTATCGGAGAAGGACAATAAGAAGGTGAGTGAAAGGAGGGGAAGAGAGGAGAGGGCTGGACTGGATAGAGAAGCTGACGCATGTGATTGTATCGGAGAAAGACAATAAGAAGGTGAGCAAAAGGGGGGGCGGGGAGGGGTGAGTTGGTGAGTAGAGGAGAGGGAGAGGGCGAAGAGGAGGTGGTTGGATACAGTGAAACAGAGGGCGGAGTCGAAGCTGAGGCACGTGATTGTATCAGAGAAGGAAAATAAGAAGGTGAGAGGGGGAGAGGGCAGAATTTGAAATGGTCGGTGTCATTCGTAGGAACCTTTTGATAATGACACTTTGCAAAAACTTTCCTACATAGTGTAGATAGAAGGAAGATGGTTGCAACATTGTTTCTGTCCTGCCTTCTTTATTTCGGGATTGACGGTATGTTTTCTTCCACCATCTGCCTCATTCCATCCAATCCCTTGCACTCTCCTCTCCCATGGGCAGATCGAGAAGTTTTTTGTGCCCGAGCTGCCCAACATGTTCCGCAACCGGGCGGAGTACGCACGCAGCATCCGCAACCCCATTGGTCGGGACTTCAACACAGAAGCAGCGTTCCGCTCCATGACCCGCCCAGCGGTGAGTGCAAATGCAGTGTGTAGTGCAGTGGTAGTGGGGAGTGCAGAGGCAGTGGGGAGTGCAGAGGCAGTGGGGAGTGCAGAGGCAGTAAGGAGTTCTCCCTCGTTCCCGCTGTGTGTGCTGTGTATTCTGTGTGTATTGCATGTCTGTTGTATGCTGTTACGACAGGATATCAAGCCAGTGGGGATGGTCATTCCACCTGTCAGATATGTCTAGAACTCTCAACCAAGGAGAGCAAGGGATGCACACTCTTTTCTTTTCTCATTTGTGTGTGTTGTGTTTTGTGCGTGTGTTGTGTGTGTTACTTTCCCCCATGTCATGAAGCCAGTGGGGGTGGTCATCCCACCTGTCAGATACGTCAAGAATGCCCAGCCTGCTGATGAGGAGCCAACACAAGCCGGGGACGACACATCCCTCCATTTCTCATCTTTCTGTGCATGTGTTGTGCGTGTGTTGTGCGTGTGCTGTGCGTGTGCTGTGCGTGTGCTGTGCATGTGTTTCCGCAGGTCATGAAGCCAGTGGGGGTGGTCATTCGACCTGTCAGATACGTCAAGAATGCACAACCCAGTGAAGAGGAGCCAGGAAAGAAAAAGGCAAAGGGAGGAGAGAAGGGCAAGAGAGGAGAGGAGGGCAAGGGTAATAGTAAGCATGGCAACAAGCATGCAAGAGGGAGGGGTGGCAGCGGTGGCGGCGGCGGTGGTGGTGGTGAGAAGAAAAAGGGGGTGGGAGGAGCAAACCGTGCTAAGGGTAAAGCTACGTAAGCCTTCCAAGTAGTGTGGTTCGCGTGATTAAGGATTGTTGGGATATATAACGTGAACCATTGCATTTTGGAATTCTGTTATTGGTGATGGCTTGTAGGATGCTGTAGTGCAAGTGTGGGATGCACAGCACAGAGAAGGGTATCTTTATTAAAAGCAGAAAAGGGAATTGTTGAAAGGCATCACACACAGACACACTACTAGCAGTAAAAACTTCCATCCAGCCCACCGAAAGACAAGCAGGAGCAAGAGCAAAGGAAAGCGACAAGAAGCACAAAGCACACAAGAGCGAGAAGAAAGCAGCATTACCCCCCACAATCTACTCCTACCCACCAGCACGCCTCTAAAGCAGCACCCCTGAGTTTCCTGGAGTTTCCACCTATTTTCCCGTGAGAAACAGCAGCCTCGTACCACAGGAACACAGCACCACTACCCATGCCCTCCAATCGGTTTGGAGCCCATGTCACCGCACCACAGCAGCCTGGCACCACAGCAGAACAGCTGCACAGTAGCCGTGCCTCCTCACAACTGCCTCAATCCCTCAACGTTAGCCCACCAGCAAGCAAAGGCCCCTACTCCAAAGCTTGAAACCAAGTGACGAATCACTTCCCTCCCTTTTTGCCATTGGAATCAGCAGCGCGAATCTGAACAGACACCCCGGTTTTCACGGACGAGACGGAATCCACGGAGCTCCTGCGAGATCCGCTGTCGTTGGAATCGAAGGAGAAGGTCGAACCCACTGAGTCCTTTCGGGACAGCAAGCCGTTGAGCGAGGGCACGGATGGCGCCTTGGAATCGAAGGAGATGGTTGAGTCCATGGAGCCCTTTCGAGAGCCGCTTGGAGAGGGAGGGTTAGACGCGACGGGGAAGTTGGCGACGTGGAACCCCGAAGCGGCGGACGAATCAACAGATGATTTCCTGCTTGGGTTGGGCGGAAGGGGCTTCTGAGGTCCCCCCTTGATAACGAGAATGCGCGGCGTTGCCCCTGAGCCCTTCCGGGATCCGCCAGAGTTGCCCGAGTAAGTCTCGAACGCGTTTGGGACGTTCGAGAGGAATTTCTTCGCCGCAGCAGCGGAATCCACGGACGAGACGGAACCCACGGAGCTCCTGCGGGACCCGCCGTCCTTGGAATCGAAGGAGAAGGACGAATCAGCTGAGCCCTTTCGTGACGGCGAGCCGCTGATTGAGGGCACGGATGGCGCGTTGGAATCGAACGAGATGGTTGAGTCCATGGAGCCCTTCCGCGAGCCGCTTGGAGAGGGAGGGTTAGATGCGACGGGGAAGTTCTTCGGGTCGAATGGAGTTGGCGGGAGGGGCTTCTGAGGAGGATTCCCCTTGACCTTGCCGAGGGCGCGTCGCGGCGCCGCTGAGACTCCAGCGAGGAGGTTCAGAGTCACGGCGAGGACGAGGGCGATCAGGAAGAGCGAACGAAGAGCACCCATGGCTGCGTTTGTTACTGAAAGAAGCCTGAATTGGAAAGAAGATTTAGATTGGTAGGATGGCAGTGATGGTAGTTTCAGAGGCTTCTGGAATTTTATTTTGGAGCTGGGATGGCTGCTAGTATTTCTGGTTGAATGAAGACTGAATGGCTTGCTTAGCTCGAGCGGAATTTTAATACCATGAAGCATTAGCGCCATGCGGGCAGGCCAGTTCGGTTTGGCTGACGTGTTGCGGCTCGACAGTAGCCGTGGAGAAATTCACCGTGCGTCTCGTAGCACCTCGGTTTACTGCTGAGTCTTGAAGCGTCGGATGCGGCGCCGATGGTGGGAGCTTGGGTGATGGTGGGAGCTTGGGTGATGGTGACGCGCTGAGAATTATATGATTCAAAATTATGATGGCCTTGGAAATGCGTGTGCGGGCTGGTTGAGTTGTTGCTGACGAGATGAGTTGTGCGAGAGAGGGTTGGTTGGGGGAAGAGATGGGTTGGGAAAGGTTTTTGCTGATTACGAGAGGTGAAAAGGCGTTATCAGGGGCGAATGTTTCTGGACTCTAAGGCGCTACGCAGCTTGAGAAGTGGGCGCTGTGAAGGTTTTGGGCTTGCTAGATCACGATATCCACGGCGGCATTCACGGCGGAACAGTAATTGCGAAGTTTGATGTGGGAAGCTTCACACGGACCGCACATTGCGACTCGTGCTTACCAATAATACACAGACACCTTCGCTAAATTCAGAGAAACACTCTAATGTCAACTATGCATGACGCTTACAGATAATGAATACACATCATTCACTCTGGTTGATTGAAAACACCATTGATTTCTCAACTTTCTTACAAACAAACCAACCCTGTAGTTCCAGCAGACACCAAGGTTGAGAATGAGTTGTGTAAAGAAAAATCCTTTTCCTTACTTCGCGTCCCTGCTCAGCTCGTACACCACTGACAGCACCCCACAATATTCCGTTAGAACTCGCGACATTCGCCTCGACACCATTCCCGCCACTGTTCACGACGCGACCCAACCTCACGGTTCGGTTGTGTCAAACATATGCATATATGTGTTATAGTTTGGGTAGGCTTAGTAGGGTACTTACTGTGGGGTACAACCCCTTGGGTTTTCACTTTGTACCAACCCTCTCGATAGTCGAAACCATCTTTTCCCGTAAGATTCTAACAGGTTGGTAACCCGCGCTCCGGACCTCCGCCTCGACAGTCCCCAACCTCAGCACCAGGCCCGTCGTGCACCCCAATTTCCCATGTTGCCGTTAGCACCGTAGCTTCGCTATATATTCTTCGCTCAATCTTTCACTCATTGTATCTTGTCTCGATAGTGCAATCCTTACTCGTTCACTCAATTGCACTCGTAACACTTGGTTATCAGAGCCTACGATCTTCTCTCGGACCGCACCCACACCTTCGCTTCCCCACTATCTCAATTTTTGGGGAGGGGGTAGACGTCTCTCAGCGACCAAGCACCGCCGCTCGTAGTGCTCTCTCGTAAGCACGCACGGCCACGACAGAGGCTATCGCTGAGCTTGCCCGACACCCCTGCCATGGCAGAACTTAATATCGCGACACTGACACACGAGCAGCTAGACCGGCTCATGTGCCAACTCGAAGAATCGGCGCTTGAAATCGCCACTCACGGCGGAACGCGATTCCGCCCGCCAACAATCGACAGTGAATGCACCAGCACCAACAAACGTACCTGCACACTCCGAGGAGCCGATCGTTATCTCCTCCGGCACACCGACACAGAACGACAGCGTGGGACAGCGCTCAGGCGTAGCCAGTGAGGGCGCCGCTCACTCAATGCCTGGCATGGAGCGAAACAGAGTCACACCAAGCCCACGGGAGCCCCGCGAAGCCCGTCGGCACGTGGAATTTGCAGCGACAAGTGGCGAGTACGCCATCACGGCACCAATGCCACTCAAGCCGCAGCGTCCGCCCTGTTTCGACCCAAGCCAACGTGGGGGTCCGACGGTTCAGTTGTGGGTCTTCACGATGAACGTATTCTTCGACGCGAACTACGTCGAGTCGGACGCAGCGAAGATTCGCTACGCTGTTTCGCTGCTGAGGGGCCCTGCCATGGAGTGGTGGCGAGTCATCGTGACGTCGTCACGCGCCTACGAGCCACCGTCGCAAGAATACGGGCCCACGGGCCCAGCCGTCACCTGGAGTTCATTCTGCGAGACAGCCCAGTACAACACGTGGGATGCGTGGTGCGCAGGGCTTCGGGCGCGTTTTGAGCCGATCGTGACTTCGATTTCATCGCGTCAGAAATTGCGCACTTGGCGGCAGCTCGGATCGGTTCAAGACTACACAAGTGGATTTCTCGCATTATGCGAGCAAGTCGGCTATATGCTCGAAGCGGAGCGGGTGGACCGTTACGTCGGAGGGCTAAAGCCTGACATCTTGCACGAAATTATGCTACGCGGGCTCTCGAATTTCAACGAGATCCTCGCGCTCGCCGAGAAAATCGACATCCTACGGCGACCGAGACCGGGGTCCTACTACGGACAACGTCCTCGGGGACCGATCAAGCACGCCACCGTACACGCCGTTGCGACAAATGCAGCTGCCGCACCGTTTAAGGGGCGCTGCTTTGCTTGCAATAGGCCGGGCCATTGCAAGAATGAATGCCCAGAGGAGCTGAGGCGCCGCGGAACAGAGCAGGGGCGAGAGTCTCAGAGGCCGGGAAACGCCAGCAGTCAGTAGAAGTTGGGCCAACTACTGACGAGACTGCCTGCTCGTCCAATTTCACCGACCCTCACCGAATCACAGTACCGATTCACGCTATCGATCGGGCTCGGACGAATAAGGAGGGCACAACGATGGATTGCCCAGTACTGATTCACGGGAAAATACAAGGAGCAGCAGTGAAGATTTTTATCGACGGAGGCGCAAGTAACAGTTTAGTTAACACCGCGACTGCAAGGAAGTTGCAACTGGCACTTAGTCGGTGTTTACCGGAGATCGATGCACGATTAATTGACGGAACGCCGCTGGCCATACGGGAAAAAGTGGAGAGAGTAAAAGTCCGCTGTGGGGGAAACTTCGGATTTACATAGGAAATGCTCGCGACGACATTGGATGGGCACGGCATTTTACTAGGACGTGATTGGCTGCGACGGTACAACCCGCGAATCGACTGGACGACGGGTAGCTGCACTGTGCGAAGTAGCGGTAACTGGGTCGAACTACCTCGCTGGCAGTCGCCTGAGTCTTCAACGATCCACGTCAATGCCATCACGATGAAACGGGCTGTCACCGCTGGAGCTGATGTGTACGCGGTGGATATCACAATCGTGGAAGAATTGGATAAAACGAGCGATTTTCAGAAACTACTGGCAGCAGTACCATCGGAGCTACAGGAACTGTTGAAACGGTTCCCGGGGATCTTCCCCGATGATTTACCGGAGGTGTCAAACTTATACTTGCTATAGTCTGTTTAGGCAGTAGTGGGGTAGTCCTTAGAGGGTACGACACTTTTGTGTTTCCTACTTGTACCCATCTCATTTCTAGTTCATTCATTCCTCAATTCTCTCACATGGTGTAGAGCTAGTTCGACTATTTTTCCTAAGGGCCCACCACTAAAATTCTTTTTTTTCCTTACCTGCCCGACGCGCGCGTCGCGCCTGCCCTTCGAGGCCCCTTCGCGGCCCGTAGCGGCCCCTTCACGGCCCGTAGAGGCCCCTTTGCGGCCCGTAGCGGCCCCTTTGCGGCCCGTAGCAGCCCCTTTGCGGCCCGTAGCGGCCCCTTCGCGGCCCGTCACGGCCCCTTCACGGCCCGTCGCGGCCCCTTCACGGCCCGTCGCGGCCCCTTCGCGGCCCGTAGCGGCCCCTTTGCGGCCCGTAACGGCCCCTTTCCGGCCCGTAGCGGCCCCTTCGCGGCCCGTAGCGGCCCCTTCGCGGCCCGTAGCGGCCCCTTTCCGGCCCGTCGCGGCCCCTTTGCGGCCCGTAACGGCCCCTTCGCGGCCCGTCGCGGCCCCTTCGCGGCCCGTAGCGGCCCCTTTGCGGCCAGTCACGGCCCCTTTCCGGCCCGTATCGGCCCCTTCGCGGCCCGTGGCGCCCCCCCCCCCCCCCTCACGTCCCTTAGAGGCCCACTACCGCCCGTCGTTGGCCCGTTGCCCCCCCCTTTGCCGGCCGTCGCCCGCCTCTGGACCGCCGCCAGTCGCTGACCAGCAGCCCGTCGCCGACCTGCCGCCCGTCTCTGACCAGCCGCCCGTCGCCGACCCGCCGCCCGTCCCTGACCAGCCGCCCGTCCCTGACCAGCCGCCCGTCGCCGACCTGCCGCCCGTCCCTGACCAGCCGCACGTCGCCGACCTGCCGCCTGTCCCTGACCAGCCGCCCGTCGCCGAACTGCCGCCCGTCCCTGACCAGCCGCCAGTCGCCGACCTGCCGCCCGTCGCTGACCCGCCGCCCGTCGACCTGGCCTTGCCCTGCTGCCGCCCCAACAGCGGCCCCTGGTAAGCACTCGTGCTCCCCCCCCCCTCCCCCTCCCTGCTGCCGCGCCGCCAGTAGCCGAGCCGCGCCGCCCAGCCGAGCCGCGCCGCCCAGCTGAGCCGCGCTGCCCAGCCGAGCCGCGCCGCTCTACCGAGCCGCGCCGCCCCCACCGAGCCGCACTGCTCTGCCGAGCAGCACTGCTGCTACTGCTTCGACTGCTGCTACTGCTTCTACTACTGCTACTGCTGCTACTGCTCCTACCACTGCTTTGCATTGCTGCTGCTCCTACTGCTACTATGGCTAGTCCTACCGTTCTCACCTTTGATGCTGAGGGACGTGCAGTTGGCTTTGACGTGTGGGTTGACGATCTAAAGCTGTTTCTTCAGTGTGATTCTAGGGATGGGGTATCTCTTTTCGATCACACGTCCGGTGTTTCCACTGCTCCTGCTGCCACTGCTGACAGTACTGTTCGCTCTCAGTGGACCACTTGTGACGCTGTTGCTCGTCTTGCTGTTCGTAGTCACCTGCCGCCTGCTGAGCGCGCACACTTTGGCCAGT